ATGTATAATTTCCATCTTCAAGACTGTGTTTCAAGACACACACGGTCAGCTCCCTATTTGCGATGCCGTCTCTCTCTAATTGCGACGTGTTATAATTTCAAGTTCGTCCTCTCTCCAGCTGAGCGAGGCTGAAGTTTAGGATTACGAGGGATCATCGACGAAACTGACGTCGCGACGTATCGTCCGCGGTCGGGCAGACTGTCGCCGACAATACGCGTCTCATCAGCTCGTTCGCCGCGGATGATTCACTCCGACGGTATGATCACCGTCAAGGAACGAACCGTGTAAATTCGCCTTTACGTGTCGGCCACTCGTGCATGTATGCGTGCCTCGTGCGTGGCCGGAGGTCGGCCGTCCGCGCGCGCGCCACGTGAACAAAAACAAGCGGCGCGGCGCTCTCCTTCCCGATGAACGCGATCGAGGCGGAGCGCGGTTAAACGTAAGGCTTCTCTACCAAACGTCGTTCCGAACACGTCCTAGAAGGCCTGGATTCTCCACGGTTCTCTGTCGACCTTCGGCTTCCCTCGTCCGTCGTTCTCGTCGCTAAATCAAGACTAGTACCCGGGAAATGCGCGCCAGTTTACGTTCCATTCCACGTCTCCCGATGATCAACTGCGAGCTTTCTAGCGCAATTTTTAGCGACTGTTCAAAATTATGGAAGGCTGATTTCGATAGTATCTTCTATCAGAACAGAAACGCTATTAAACAGAGAAGATCTGTGTGCGCGTGAGACCGAATATCGTAAAATAAACTTGAGATAATTATAAACACGGAATCAATTATTTAACACGGAAATAAATTCCAATATTGTTAGTATCCAATATTGTATTTAAAACACCTTCTTTTCCAGTCAATCCGATAAAACCTATTTAAAGAGAGAGAAAAATTATTATTTGAAATTTTTTTATCTTTTAGGAGGCCGAAAGGATATATTCGTGAGACATTAAGATATAAATATATAAAGAAGTGCTACCCAAGATTATTCATCCAGATAAATCGGGAGGAAATTTCTAATTGATGATTCAGTAGAAAAATGTCTAATCATGACGAAATCTAATCATGGGCAGCATAAAAAATTATTCCTTTTGGATATTTATGAAATAGTATCTGAATGAAATTAATTTCAAAATTCCTGATCGATGTACTCCCAATCTAACGCAATTAATTACATTGATTAAAACTTTGATTAGAACAGACATTGTTGCGTTCTTTTTTCACTGTTAAATCTATAGAGAGTATCAAATTTAACCTAAATTAAATCGCCATTTCTCCTACTCAATATATTATTATTTTGTACAATGTATATATAATATATAAAACGACGGTTAAATTTGACACTATATAGTTTTAAATTTGACTATTCTTTTTATATAAAATAACGATATATTGAGAAGGAGCAGTGACGATTTCATTAGGTCAAATTTGACACTATAGATTTAACAGTGCAGATTTTATTCGTACGAACAAATCAGATAATAGAAAATCATTATATCAAAATGTACGTTGTAAAAACATTTTCGCATTTTCACTCGCATATGCATGCGAACGTCGTCGTAATTAAAAGCAATCGTAAACTGCTTCTTGGACATTTACATACGCAGTATGCGGTTTATTGGGCGCGTTAAGAGTACCGTAAATCGAACCGCTTATTATCAGGAATATTATACATGCGTTGGATCTCATTAAATTATTCAAACTGCAATAACGTTGCGTTACGCGCCAATCGCTGTTTATAAAAAGCTCAACGTTGCATTCAGTATACATTATTTAAAAGCATATTAAACTGTTGATGGGAGTTCGAACGAAGTGACTTGATTGGAAATCAATATTTTGAAGACAAAAATTCTAATCTATAAACGGTAGTGTAATTTATCCAGAAAATAGTTTTTTGAAGACGTGAGGTCGCTATTATTAAGAATCTCTCTCTCTCTCTCTCTCTCTCTCTCTCTCTCTCTCACGCACACAAAATCTATATATTTTTTATATGTTACATAATCCGTCAGGAAAAACAAGTGGAGAATTAGAACCAATTCTCAAAACGTACGAGTTTCGCTTGCTGGATTCTCATTAGAAATAACATAATGTTTAGCTGAATATGATTCAACGACAACATCGGGCACGAGGCAATATTGTAAGAAAATTGTATTCTCTTACAACGACTTATTACGAGACGGATAATTACGTACGACGATAGATAAAGTGCTTAAGAATCTTGAGAAACGAAAGCGGTGAATTTAATCAAACTTTTCGCTCGCGTTTCCCTCAAAACGCAATTAATGTGAGTTAGCACTTTCTCCCTCCCACGTCCCCCTTTTACCCCGTTATCAAGCGATGTGTCGCGGGTCACGCGAGCACGCGAAAAACCGGCGTCTCCACATTGCAAAAACGCGAAACCGTCACACCGTCGTCGGTGCACGGCACCGAGTTCCCCACGCGATGCTTTAGCGACACAATGAGATATGAGAATAAAACGTGAAGGTAGAAAAGAAATTGCATTTCGATCCCGATGTCGAACCACCTTTTTTTCCCTTTTCAAATAGGGGGGCGAACGAACACGGAGGATGCACCCACGTGTTATCGTTTTGTGCAGCAATAAAAGGAACGTAACGTCAGAACGTTCTGGCGTGAAGCATATAAAGCTTATTATACGAGTTCCGCTATTGAGGATTAAACGAAAAATCGCAAGCCGCAATGATGCGTTGTAAAAATGCCGCTAAAACTGTTTTTACAGCGGCACAGATTTTTGTCTCCTATTTTTCCAGCTCATCTTCGTAGTTCGTCGTTGCTTGTAGATATCGGGGCGATGTCAGGCTCGTCGCATATTCTTCATTCCGAAAATTCCATAATTTTTTCGAAACATACTTTCATAATTTTCCCCTTCGGTGATGTTTTCGATAATATTTCGAAATTTCTTTCGTATTTCAAACTTCATTTGGAAACCTTCAGATATTTTGTCGAGGCAGCAATTTGAGATACCAATGTAAATTACCGTTGTTGACAGTTCTTTTTGGATTTAATTACCAAGTTGGTAATATTTCAGAATCCGCGTGGATGTGACGTATATACCCATATTGAAACTTCTTTGAAGTGAGGAATTTTAATTTTCTACCAAAAAAATTTGGTAAAATTTCGTGACCCTCCCCCCCCCCCCCCCCCCCCCCCCCCCTTTTCC